TATAATAGAAGTAGAAAAAAAACACTATCACAGTCAAAAGCGCATGCTTCTGCCATTTATGACAGTCGGTCACGGACTTTTGCAACTACGACATAGTTTGGGCTAATTGCAGACCGACTGCCCACTAAGATGCTAATTCCGGGCATCTATGCTTTAAACGACCACATTTAGCTGCTCTTCTGTGTGGGTATAAAAAAATGATTCCCAATAAGTGCGTAATGCAAAACGAGTTTATTTTACGTCTGATGTTATCAAAATAAGCAAGTTAAGATTAAGGGGACGCCGAAGCAGGGGGTTGACGTAAATTTAAATAAAAACAGGCGCAGAAAGAGTGGTAGCAGACGAGTCGTGAGTTTTAAGACTAGCAACACAATTCGTTTGAAATTCGCCTGATTTAATGATAAAAATGCGACTTTTGTCTGCTAGGATCAAAGTTTTTGTGTCTTGACTTAGCTGTTTATTAACTCTGAAGTAGCATGAATGCAGAACCTAGTGGACAGTAATAACGCGTTTTGTAGGCAGACAAGTTAGTCCCTCAATAAATTGTGATCACCCTTTAGCCGGTTTGTCAGAGGATACTGATTAAGCTCTGTAAGAATTCCGTTGGTGTCACTTATGTAATAAAAATCTTATAAACCAATAAAACTCTTCCTCCACGTGATTTATAAAACAATACTTTGGTCAGTAAATTCATCAAAATAATTTACTGAAATTTAAACGATTATATTTGATGGGGTTAACCTTAAATTCAATTAAAATTTTAAAAGTTTAGGAATCAAACTTTAAATTACCTAGTCAAGTAAATACGCAGAATATTTAACTTCTTAAAAATAAGTATGTATATCTGTGTTTACTCGACTTTTTAAATGTCAAAATTTTCAACTGTTTACAGCAATGTGTTCGAAAATAAAGACGTTGCTTCTGAAATTATTAAGGCCCACTAGAACCAGTGGTTACAAATGACACTACTTTTGTTGTAATTTTTGTGATGTAGACTTAAACAGTGTTTATATTTTTCGATGCATTCTATAAATACCACTATATGGGGAGCAGGCGTGGCTCCGTTGTCCACAAAAATAATTTTGGCCCTGTTGTTTGTTAGTCTTTTCAACCCAAACAATCGCAAAAATAATGTTTTCGTCGATTGCCAAATATCACAAACCTGGTTTTATAAACTAATCCCGTAAATTTGCATTCCTAACTGCAAAAATTAAACATACAACGTGTTTTATATCCTACTTATTCTAACCTTATTATATTTCTTTATTAAACAGGGAGAATGCCTAAACAGACTTGGATTAGGCCTCTTTTTTATCCTTAGAATACTCGACTCTTCAAATTATCGTGGTTTCCGACTCCATAGCTAATCTGAAAACATGTGGGTTTCATTTGAAAAAGATTAATATGTAGCGGGTCCGGTGCGGTTTTGGAAACCACACCAGGACCGCCAAATCTACATTGACACGGCCCGACCGAAAGAAGAACACAAATGCAGATGGCGCGTAGCTCAACTAATTTATTGATGCGGTAGCGGTATGTGTTTGTACAGGATAACAAGTGCGTTTATATAGCTTCGCTAAGCACCGATATCCGAACGACTGCTAACTGTGCTTGCTTACTGCTCACCACTAATAAAACCAGTGGAAATACAGAAAGTTAGTGTTCATTAATTGTAGTTCAGTGCTTGCTACTTCCGGTAACACGACTAACAAGTGCTGTTCATTCATAGCTACATAACTTTATCGATATTTTCAAAGTACAATATTTTAAGTCTCGTAACAGAAGGATTTGTTTTAAAGGATAAGCTGAGGCTTTGCTGCTACTAATTACCCTTTCAGTTGTTTGAAACAATAATATTGTTTAGATGTACCCTTATTATTTTTGGTAAGGTTTTTTCTGATTAAAACCATTAAAAAGTTTAAACTGATGGCCGAAAGGTGAAAAAATTGCTACGGTGGACCAAGCTCTGGAATGAATAAATTTAAGTTCAAAATGTAGTTAGCACTGCGGAAACCAATGCCTATCAGTTATAGGATTAAAATTCCTTTGCTTATCATATTTATATGCACAAATTTAAAGTGCATAATTTCATGTAAAATAAAATGACTTTGCCAGATGCAAAATTCAACAACTATTTTATGCTTTGCATATGACTTCATGCCACGAATTATTTAAAATTACAGGAATATAAGAAAACAAGAACGGTAATTGGAAACTTTAGAGAAGAAAGTAAAGTGTCATTAAACAATATTTTAACTGTCTTACCAACTATGGTTTCGTTACTAACTGAAACCTAGACCAACGGAGTAATGTCAATTTGTAACAAAACAAAAAATTTAGAAAACCTGACACAACTCTTTAATGCACACTCAATTGCTCTTTCGATAAATTTTATTAACAATTAAATGAAAGCGAAATCGGAAAATTCAAAACAATAAAGGATACTTTTCCAGCCTCCATGTTGCGACAGAGCAGATTTTGAAATTTTTGATTTAGGGGCCATAAAATAGCACGTTAGTTTTGTTCAAACAAATTTGTTTTAAAAAGGGGATGAACCGAGTGAAATAATTTGCTATAATTGTGGCCGTACATTTGGAAAAGTTATTTATATATGATTTCTTTAATGTAGTTAGATCTCGGAAAAATTATCGAGAATGTTTAAAAGGTCATGCATAATCTTAATTAATCAAAAATGTAATTTCTTAAATAATCTTGTCCTTGAATCCCCTCGGATGTCTGAGGATGCCAACAGATAAAAATTTTTTTAATTCTACCTCCCGTAGTTTCGCCCAATCCCTGATTTAAATGTGTGCAATGTAAAGCTCAGGTGACATTTTTTGACTGCAATTGAAATTCTTCTTAACCAAGTGTTTATATGGTGACAGTCATGCCAGCATTGACCCGTAATCTTTAACTAAAGCGGCATTTCGCCTGGCAGATCGAAGCTTCCATGTTCCTCCTTAGCCCCTTAAGAATAGTTTTGACTATGCTGAATTATTTGCTAATACGTTAAGATTACGTTTCCAGTTCTTTAATATCAGGAACGGCTATCCGAAGCAAACTTTAAAGGAAGACCGGACACCTAATTAAAAAGGACCTCAGTTAATAACGATACTAGTTTGGTTTCACTTAAATTCTACTAAACTTTAAACATTGTTTAAATTCAAATTAGATGCAAACTGAGGTGTCGCCTTACGATGGACTCAAGCACTCAGACTGATACAAAATTTATCTAAAATGCAAATTTTCAGCTCAGATTAAGACACGTATTGACAATGAAAAAGCCATCGCTACTTTTTACCGTTTCTCGATCGTTTGATGTGCCCCTAGAGGGGACGCGTAGGTAAATTCAGTCCATTGACACTGCCTTTGCCTAGTGCTTGCAGTCAGAACACTTCCCTGTTTCACTGTACTTGTGTGAGGAACTTATGACACGTTCTTTTGAAGTAGGTGGGCTGAAGCAAACTGCCACCTAAATACATGCATACATTAATCTGCTTTCACGTACAGGTGTCGCTTGTAAACTTTTCGTACTTGAGGTGGCTACCGTCTTTCTGCATCAACTATCCTATTATTTTCATGACAGTCACTACATGGTGTACTAAAATTAATGGCTGCGAGCAATGCATAAAGGCCGACGATGTGTGGTTACGCGACAGTTTCTTTTTTTGCTAATTAATTTTTTGATACTACATTTTGCGTAGGAGACTAATGAAAGCTTCCTTAACCACAAAAGTCAATAGGGAATTCTTTTGAAAAAATGGTACGTTTCTAAAGCTGCTGAATTTACTAGAAAGCTTAAGAATTTTTTTGAGTTGCCCATCTATCATAATTAGGAGAAAACCAGTTTCCCCCACTATAAAATCATGCTTTCAAGGGTTAAAATTGTCCCTGTTGTTGAAATGTTAGTTAAACAAATTTCACCCACTTCGTTGTGAAACTAAACGAACTTCCTGAAATTGATAATTTGAAATAATGAATGTAACTAAACAAGCAATAGCAATTTTCTGCCTACGGTTTGCCAGAAGGCCCATAAAGACTCAAGTGGAATGTGCGGTTGATTTTTCTGAACCCATCCCTTAACCCAACGCAATGTCACTTGAACTACATTCATGCCATCCTTTGTCAAGCGACCCCAGTTTGTTTTAAACTAGACCACCTGAACACCTTGCATTTCTCAAGGCCCTACTGTGCGTAAATCAGTGTTACTAATTACCAGTTATGAGCAAAGTTCAGTTACAATTGAGTGAAAGCTTGGCGGATGACGCAACCGGTTGCAATAAACTTTTCCGAAATAGACCTTGAGGAACTTACGTTGTAATTACTGGTTTTTTTTATTTAGGGTTAAGTTTTGGCAAACACAAGGCATCTGACAGCAGAGGTGTCAATTTGTTAAAATAAGCCAAGTAAGCATTGACAGTATCCTCTAGTACAGCCAATAATAAGACGTTTTTCTTTATTTTTGGTGATAGGAAAAGTAGAATCCAAACTTTTTTTGGTTTCGGATGCGCAAAATTTAACCTGGGTTTTGTTAATAACAAAAAGGCAATGTTTTCTAGATAAATTAAAAATATTTACTATCTTAGTAACTCTTATGGCTAACTTTCATTCCGTCGATTTATGGATTTACAAGGTACGATGAAATCGCCTCAGAATGGCAACTTCTTGTTTTGCAGGCATCATCTTTCATTACACATCACGCACCTAATTTGTCGCCTTTCTCCGAAACCAAATAAGCATGACCAGCAAATCGGAACACTTTAAAGTTAATGTCACCCAATTTCCACCTATTTAAACTGGAATTATGCGGAACAATGGTCATTAATTTCACAAAACTAGTGAGATTTTTGCGTTTTTTCGATGAAGTTTATTTTAGCATGTCAGGAAAGTACTATTTTTATTCTAAACTACACAGCAGATTTGGCATTGGAATTCTTGTTATTGAGGTTTTAAGCTCGCACAGACAAAATGCATCACCACTGAAAACGTTTTCCTTCAGCCTATCACACATTCCCGAAGTGATACACGCGCCATTGCGGTTGACCGAAAAGCACAGAACCCAATCCGCTTACAGAGAATCCCAAGGTCGAAACCCCATTGGCTGTCGCGATGAATGCTATCCTCGCGGTTATATAGAGTGGCGTCAGTGGACGAGGCGGCACCAAAACCCGAGGGGACGTGAAGTTATGGCTGCTACAATTCCCGAGATGGCTTGTACAGCCTCTTTCGGTCCAATGTCGGAAAACAACCATCCAGCACAGGGCCAGAGGAGTCATTCAGTCGTGAGCATCGCACTGTTGAATGAAAACGGTGAAAACGACACTTTGGAAATCGATGAAGCAGATGACGTCCTAGAGGACTCAACGGATTCACAAATGGATGAGTGCAGCTGTAAGCCCTGTTTTTTTTATTTCTTTGATCCATGAGAAAATATAACGGGTAAATTAAGTGTTTTTAACTAAAACCAATTGAGAAGAGCTCAACTATTTTTCCGTTCTCAGAAAATTTTGTATCATTCATGCAATTACTGACGTTTGCTTATCTCCAAATAACCTTCAATTTCTACACAACCCAGCTGTACGGATTTTCGTTATTTCCCTCTTTTTTAGCTCCAATCGCCGACGACGTTCGAGTTCGTCGACTATCCATCGCCGACCGCGTCAACAAACGACGAAATACTGAATTTGCATTCGAATTCGCCCGCCTCGCGGCAGCTGGCCGCGCTGAGGAGTTTTTCCGGCTGCTTGACGAGCATTCACGTCTCGTCCACTCGGTCCAGTTTTGGTCCACAGCTGGTGGGTGAAAGATTGTCGCCTTAATAGTTGAATTCAACATTTTTTTGGATAAGTGTCTTATTATTCACGAAGTTGCTAAAACCCAATTGTTCCTTCAATATCCGTGTAATTAATCTCAAGTAATTATTCGAAATGCCTTCAGACCTCATAAGCTACTATTTTAGGGTTGAGAATCTAGATTTGACATGTAAATAGTGAGTCTGGTTAATTGTAAGTCAGTGAAGGAAAACGAAAGTTGTCTTTCTAAATTCATTCGAATCTGTTACTTTGGTGGTAACCACAATCTTTTAATATCGTTCAGTAGCAATGCAAGACAATGCACAGAATTTCGCAATGAAATTGCAACTGGATACCCACCAACAAACTCAGACAGAGAAACAGTGATCTGTATTTCACTATAGTGTCTAAAGACACGCAATTGTCACTTGCTAATTTATACAACACCCGCGAGTCTTCAATTCACCTGTACATCTTTCTCCTCCTTCTTCTTCTCTTTTAATACCGTTTTTGTGTTTGCTGTAGCCATTTGTACCTATATTGGCATTTTGTACCCACAGAATTACTACCAATCACCCCTTGAGATGGAATAAACTGTTCAAAACGTCCGATTTTGTTCCTGAATGGTGTCTTAGTGTTGTCCCAAGCTATTAAAACTGCAAACGAGACGTAAGGTTTGCTCGAAGGCGTCCATTGGTTGCATTCAACACAAATTCAAAGCCGCAAAGACGCACTTTGTGCTAAAATAATAATGAGGTCGTTAAAATATGGCAGAGTTGAAGAATTAATAAAATTAAAGTGCGTTACATCAACTACTAATCACCCGAAGACTATTGTAGATATTTGCATATACAATATGTATTATAAATTCCGAAATAGTTTATTGCATTGGTATCTACACAAACCGATATTAGAGGTGCATGCGTAACCATTGCGAAGTACCAAAGCACCGAGTGATAATTTGCAACGGTGTGATTATCAATGTTTGGTGCGTACCTACTTGAGTGCCGATACCGGAGGTATGTTTAATGTATTCACCTGAACGCGTAATGAACCTCTATTAAATGTGCACAGAAGCGAATACAACTAAACCCATACAGCAATGACTTGTAGAAATTCGACAAAAAGCACCTACTGCATTATTCTGAATGATTCTAAAACTTCAAAGTATTGGTCAATGAAGACCACAGCACACGAAAATTAGACCAGTAGCAGGTGGTTGACGTGCAGCTGCTTAATTTGCCAATTATTTGATACCAAGAGGATGTGCCTTAAGACTATGGCTACATAGCTTTTTGCCTAGGAATTCAAGTAATGATGAAAAAGTGGTTGGATGTCCTGCAGACCAATCACCCTGCTGCCTGATTTCTGATCTTATTTTGTCCCCAAACGAAGGCATGTTGAAAACTGAGGAGGTTTTCCTGAAATGTGCAGTTAGCAATATAGTGGGATTAAATATTATTTAATACAAATTTTTAGGTGTGCGATTAAATAACCTTTGTAGGCAGGGCGTTTGTGTTCAATTTGCCAAGTGACAATGTTGCGAAGTGAGATTTCCTTAATTCGCACGTTGCTAAGTCTTAGGAAGTCTGTGTATGCAAAAATTAAGCAAGTATTTGGTGGCCTTTAATTGCATTGCTTGGATTCTAAAGCTTGTGAAGTCAGTCCTCGGCATAATCAACGTTAACACTGTGTTTAACGCTAATTTTGAGTGATCTTATCTCGCAATAGCTCTCCGTTTTAAACATTATTATTGACAGACTTTTGGTGTTAGACCAGCGCTGAATCAAAACCCACCAAACCGCAAAACTAAGAAAACAAATTCGAGGCTTGTGATAACTTTGTTATAAGTTGAGCACACCTCAAGAACTGTTGTTAGTACACGGTTACTTTGACCTGAACAAGTGAAACCTATTAAACGTGGCATCCTTCATACCTGAGAAAACAACGACCTCCTTACCAGCGGTTCATCTCAATTGCGTGAGGTCTGAAAGCAAACGCTGGGTGACCATTGTATTTCAGACAATCAGCATTTACTAATCGTCGATAAGGCTCCAGACAGACACTTCTTATGTAAGGCTGTTAAACAAACCTATCCAGTTTCAAAAAGCGATTGCTTTAAGGAAGGCGCGTGTTCGAATCCGACTGAATTAATGCCTTAAGTAGAATTTTATCATCAGAATTTACAGTTTTTACGAGGTTCTGAATGAAAACGATAAGTTTATAAGTCAAACTCTGACCACGCCCTAAGTTTAGGTTTTTCAAGCTTCTGGTTTGATTTTTTATGATTTAAGATATCAATATTTTTTAAAACAGATAGGAGAGCTGCTGTGAACTATGTAGACTAAATCTTAGGCAGCTTTTTTAAGCTTCATATTCTTGTTCAAAATGTCGATTAGATACAAATATGTCGCCTTCTTGACAAAAATTTTAGAAAATGGGACGAAACACGTTGGCATTTTATTTTAAAGCTTAACCAGTTACCATTGTTTATCAGAATTTTTTCATAGTTTAAAAAAATGCAATGGCTGCCGGCATTCAAGTATTTCACTCGTTCACCGGGTGGTAAGTGGTGCTCGACATGCCTCAATTAAGTGACTGCCTTGCGTCATCTAGATAAGTGCATAGTATACATTAACGCAATCAGAGCTCATTCAGTGATTTTGTCATTCAGCCTATTGCTTTCAGGTCTAAACAGAACAGCCACCGAAGAACGCTTATAGAAGTTCAATGAAGAATGAGTTGCCCAGGCTGAAAGTTACCTAGCACCTGGTGTATGCTAGCACACTTGTGTTCCTCACTAAAACTTTCAGTTTAATTGTCCAAATCGCTTGTAGCAACAGTAGAGAACTCAAAACAAATTACAGAATGTATGATGAATAATTAGAGGACAGTAAACACGGAGTGGGGGGAAATGTTTTGCATCAAGTAGTCTAGTTATTAACCAACGACCATACAACAGAGCCTCTAAATTGCTGGAAACATTATATGGCCTTTCGTGCACGTACATGTCAGTTTTCGACCTACTCTTCATTTTAAAAAAATCCACGTTGAGCCTTTTTTTTCATTCAAAACGACCAGCGACACAAACTGTTGACACTGGATCTGCTAATGGGAAATAAATAAGCATTCAGTGAAAGCCTATCGTTAGACGATTTCTAATTGAGCATGATGGTAAAATCGTTCTTTTTTAACATCGATTGTGATTATTCACCTTATTGTAGACCAGTAACTTCACTTTCAACTATGCCCGAAATTCAGTTTTTCGTTGCTCTAATGTGTTAAGCACACCTTTATTGCTGTATTTGGGGTTCAACTCCCAGAACTATGACTGGGTTTAGTTCATTCCACTGGCGAAGCCCGACTCTGTGGGCGACCACAAGGCTTTGGATGTTATCGATTAAGGTGTTCCCTTGTCTCCCGGATTTGCTGCAAAAGTGGACCTTTAATAGGTCTGTCAATATTTTGTACAACTTACCTACGCATGACTTGTATGATCTAACTGAGGACTACAGTAATTTTGTAGCAGTGCTAAAATTCTGATCTTTTTTACACGAAAACCACTGCCAGTTAACTTGCAGTCCAATGTAGGTGTGTTGCAGGCAATCACTCTTGGTGATTTATTCTGAGGTCCCTGTTTCTTCCCCTAAATGGTATGGGCATTCAGCATTCCGCAACTTATTGTGTGCATTATTATTTGTGTATAGTAGAACATAATTATTTGCTTAACTTTTCCGATTTACCAACTTCTACCTGAAATAATTTATTTCCTAGACCGAGGTTTTGCTAGACTTTCCTACTATTTGATTGACACTGTAAAACTAATGTCATGTTGGGATTAGAAGCAACACTGTCACCTCTACCTCAAACAAATGTCCTTTCTTCAAATCGTCCATTGGTATTAATTTGAAAACAGTAAGCTGCATATTGATACTATTTGATCCAAAAGGGACACATTTGGTGCCCGGCACACACAGATGCCTTTGTCACTTTTGCGTACACTTGAGATTCGTGAATCCGATAAACCAATTATCTCGTTTTTACTTCTAAGGAACCCTCACAAGGCTAAATTATTTGTAAAAAAACACTTCTCAATTATTAATTAAGTCAAGCAGAAATGCAGCTTGAAGGTCTGCAATCTGGATAATTGAAATATAATTTTGAAGAACAGTTAAGTAGTTTCAGGTTTGCACAATTTTTTAACACATAGTTATAGACGAGATTAGTAAGAAGGCAATAACATTTGGTAAGCCTGGAAATTCCCTGCTTCCATTCTTGATGTAAAACGTGGTTGAATCGAGAAGACAATTACCACAAAAAAGTGGTCTTAATTTCTTGTGTTGGGAGAAGTCGTACTAATTGACTTCACGAAACCACAATTCCCTTTTAAACTTCAATGAAGACATATCCGATGACAGTATTCCAATGTTCTGTCATTGCATAAATCACACAGTGTGACTTGAACACACGCATACCCTCGTTATTTATAACATCTTGACTGTGACCCGTGTATGAACCCCGTGAATTGTGAATAATTTGAGCTCTAACGGAAATAAGTAAGGGTTGCCTAGCAAGGAAGGTTATATCGGATAATGAGCCAAGCCGGGAACAAGAATGTGGCTCAGATATAAGAACCGTCTGTTTTTGAAGTGGGCTTTAGACTGTTATGTGGTTTTTCATTAAATAAGATCTCAAGTAGTCTGACGGCAGTCAAAGCAGAAAATTCATGACGAAGACAGTAAACGAGGTGACAAATTGCAAGGAGCTGAGGAAGTAGACTAGGTTTGACTGGTGCTCAGCACATCAACTAATCATAAATTATTTGCAAATGTTTTAAAATTTGTGAGATTTTTTTCAAAAGTATAATGACAAAAACTTACCGGTTTTGATACACTATAATTTAAGTCTTCTTAAAGTTGAATACTGAAAATTCTTGGTTCAACCCCAATTTACATGTCCATTAATTATTGTAAAATGGGCTAAAAGGTTATAACCGTTCCTTAGCTTCGTAATTTGGAAATCAAAATTTACTCATGTAATCTGTGCTAGAATTGACGCAGGCTTTTGTATTCATGCCCTAATCTCTATGAAATCTTAAAAAAAGTAGATATTTTTAATGATATCGAGTGACACACAACTCTCTGATTAACGCTGGCAGACTCAGCAAACGTTTTACTGCGCCAAATCATCCCAAATGTCTGGATTTAGTGTTTCGGGGATGATGTCACATTTGGCATATTCCCATTTTAACAACATCAATAAGGTGAATAGAATAGTCTTCAACAGCAATGCGCAACTAAATAAGTGAATTTATTGCACTATCATTTACTTCGACGAGTTAGGATTGAAAATGAGTTCACAGTAGACTTTGTTTCTTGTGATCATCA